TATGCAGATTTCCACAATGTCTTTGCTAGTGGTTAATTTTGGGTGCCGAAATCTTCCCATGTGGAGACAGTGGCCAGGTTGCAAATGCTTCTCTATGGCATTATTATTCAAAATAATGGGAAGGGAAAAGAAGAGGGTGTGAATGAAATGTAGTGACTCCAGCAGTTACGGTAACTCCTTTGAAAGTGATAGCTTTTCCATTTCTTCATATGACCCATAAGGGGTTTAAAAAGAAACATAAGAAAGGTTCTAGCTAGTAATGAATAGAAAATAGTGTCTTGCTCTTTAGATGCTATTTATTGGGGCTTTTGTCAAGCAATCACTCTGCCTCATTCTCAACATTTTATGGTGGTTCAGAGATCTCGTTGTCTTCAATTTGTAATCATCTTGTGTTTTCCCATCAGTTCTGGATGACAAGATAAAATTGTTGCGTAGAGTTTATGAATTAGTAGCCCCAGGAACTATCATTCTAGAAGTACATTGAACCTAGATGGACTGCTGATTGACTCCACAGATAGGAAAAACTTTCTAGTGGGATTAAATTGGCAGAGACATGACTGCCTGGCTGATGACAACGTGTTATAAATGAGAAGTTAAACTTAATGTATTGACTTGCTGCAATAAATTTTATAATATTGCCTGTAGCCAATTGAATGGTCATATAATGGCAATTCACCATTTCATTTTAGAAACTGTTAAGTGCTTTATTGAGTTGGTCATGCATCATTTGGCTGATACAAGAAGCTTTTACAACTGGCACAATTCTTGTATTGGTAGCAAGAATTGTTTTGTCTGTGCATAGAACAGTTTTATGTGTGAGAGAGAATACACTTTTGTTATAGTTTTATATGATAAAGATTAGAATCTGCTAGCCTACTCAAGTATAAACCTTGACATTTTGTTTTGTTTTGGGATCCTTTTATAGTCTTGTTAGGCAGAGGGAGGAAGAAGGAAGGAAGGAAGGAAGGAGGGAGGGAGGGAAGGAAGGAAGGAAGGAAGGAAGGAAATAAATTGTGGGAATAAGCTGAAGCAGGAATTAATAGTGGTAAGTGTGAAGCCCAAAGCTGAAATTAAACCATAGTTCATGGTGGTCTTTCAGTAAACTCTGTTCTAAACTGATTGAATGATCAGTAAATATGACATTTATGTATCCTATTTAGTGTTGAATCATTTATACATTGTGATTACCTTAATTTAAATTATGCATTAAAATCTAAAATCAATATAACCTATCAAAAGAAAATATATTTGGAAAACCCTTACTAGCCCAATGAAAATATTCACCCAAGTTTCAGTAACCATGAAAACATTATTTTTCATCCTAACAGTTATTAGGAGGGAATCCTATAATAAAATTACCAGTATTGTGATTACAAAATATGTTTACATAGATAGCAATCTATATAGAATATATACTTCTGATGGCTGTATTTCAAATATTATAGGGGAAAATATAGTAACCAGAATTGTTGGGGAAGAGGAAAAGAAGAATCTTTGGTTGGCCTGCCTGCCTGCCAATCATCTCTGGGGATAGGGAATCTATGACTTTCAGATTCTGATGAACAGTTCTGGGGAACCTGTGTGTGTCTCTGTGTAAAATTCAGAAACAGCGTATCTGTATAGAATTGTATGCGCTCTATATGAAGATTCCCTATGAAGTTTTTTTCATGATGCTTGTATTAATTTAATTTGATTTAAATGGGAAAAAAACATGGTATGGACATAATAATATTAGAGAAATTAGAAGTAATTGCTCCAATTTTATTCTGGGCTTGCAGTGATTTTTACCTTAGAAGTGGATCTAGCTGAGTGCTTACTTTTATAGATGGAGTTGATCCTCATTATTCATGAAGTTTGTATTTTTAAATTTGCTACCGGTAGGTGCTAAAGTTTATTGGTCACTCCCAAAATCAATACTTTCATGGTCATTTGCAGTTTACCAGCTGAAGTTGAACAAGGCAACACTCTGCCTTTTTGTTTCAGCTCTATTCCTGTAAACAAGAGGTCCTTTTTGTGGTTTGTTTAATGTCATTTTTTTCACTTTTGTGCTGAAAAATATATTTAAAAAGGCATATTTAAACAGAAACACACATAAAACAGATTTTTGTATTGATTGGTGGAAAAAAATGTTGTGACCTGAGGTTCACAGGAATCCAACTCTTATTTTCCTTAGGAACAATGATTTCAGTATTTGCTAATTCAGTGTTTGCAGTGACTTTACAGAACATAACTACTGTGAATAATGACTTTTTTTCCTCACAGTAACACTATAGATTTCCCTGTTACAATTAAAACTATTGTTACAAGTTGCTGCCAAGCCACATACTGTTTAGGGCATAATAGCAAACAAACATGTTCAAATTTGCCCCCCTTTCTGCCATCATTAATTCTGACATTGTCTTCTTATTTGAGGGTATACCACTCACTGCCTATGTGGTTTTGAATTCAGTATAAAGATCTTGCCTTCTATTGTCAGGCTTTTTTCTTCTTTTGGTCTTCTGAGGAGAAATCCTAAAATAATCTTGTTCCAGATATCTCAATACGCTATTACAAACACTTAAATTATACTTCTAGTCCATTTATCTTCCTGCTTTTCAAGTGCTGGTTCAGTTCAATTTTAATGTTCACTTTCCCTTCAAGATGATTTTTCTTGCTTTAATAGCAATAGCAGTTAGACTTATATACCGCTTCATAGGGCTTTCAGCTCTCTCTAAGCGGTTTACAGAGTCAGCATATTGCCCCCAACAACAATCTGGGTCCTCATTTTACCCACCTCGGAAGGATGGAAGGCTGAGTCAACCTTGAGCCGGTGAGATTTGAACAGCCGAACTGCAGAACTGCAGTCAGCTGAAGTAGCCTGCAGTGCTGCATTTAACCACTGCGCCACTTCGGCTCTACAGACATCAAACAGACATCTTTGTCATCTACAGTATATCAGGGGTGTAAAACTCACGGCCCGTGGGCCGGACGCATCACATCCTGGTCACACCCACCCCCATTTTCAGAAGGGGAAAAAAGTTGTGATACATCACGTGTCAACAACGTGATGCCATGAGTTTGACACACCTGATCTATATCAGCCATTCTTTCTTATAAACATTTTTTGGGTGATTAACTTCAGATTAATGCCTTTACTCCAGTGTAGCATTTTTGTCATTTCAGGCTTACATTGGCCATAATTTCTCTCATTTAATTTACTTGGGAACATTGAACCTTATTGCAACTATTATTCTTACTAAGGGAAGAGTCAGTTGTGCATGCCACTGAAATCAGGTGGATGACAATTCAATTGCTCATAATCATATATGTTCTGTATGTTTAAAACTACCTTTTAAGCCTCTCATAGCTTAAAACATGAAAGTTACAATGTAGTTCAGTGGTCCCCAACTTTTTTGGCTCTGCGGATCGGCAGCGGCAGGGGCAGAGAGAGGGATGGTTTTGCCCTGGTTCCCAATGGGCCAGAGCCTGGAAGTTGGGGGTGGGGTGGGTGCTGATGTAGTTGTTGATTAATATTGCAGCTGAGGTATCTAAGGAAGTATCTTCAAAGGAGAGGACCTCTTTGGTATATTTTAGGTTTTTGCAGTGAATTATGTTTTCAAATAGTTGATTATAATGTTGTTATTGGATTTTTTTGAGCAAACAATGCTGTTTGGAGGTCAGTCTGAGAATGTTAATGGGCACAGAAAATGTGGGATAGAAATTTCACAAAAATAGACATATTCTGGAAGTGACACATTTTTAGACTGGCCCCCAAAACTATAGTGCAGCAGCATTTTGCCCAAATTAGTAGTTTTACGAAAAAGTACTGGTTCCCTAAAGTGACTTATACATAAAAAATCTCTTTTTTTTCCAATTGTATCTCCTCTTATCAGTGGCATAAACCTGTAAACTCAGAAAACAATGATTGAAAACTCAAATAAAAACATTTGCTAAAGAACAGCTTCATGTGGAAGCTAAACAAATTACCTAGCTGCACTCCATATATTATATTTTACAGTCACTAATGAAGGATTTAAGTTGATAATGTGCAAAAATTGGACTGGAGACCTGAGAACTTTATGGTGGTGGTTTTTCTTTTTTTAAAGAGGTAAGGCTGCAAACAGCAGACTCTATTTTTGAGGCTGTCATCAAAAAAGTTGGGGAGGGGGGAACTACTGATGACTAACTTTTCTTATTCAACAGTTGATAGAAATTTGATTTTAATCTACTAACAGTCCTTTAGGGATTTACAATGATCAGGAAAGATTTTTGACTCCTACCTGTGAACAGTAGCAACAGTAACACAATTCTCCTTCTCTCCCCCCTCCCCCAATTATGCTGCTGAGATGAAAAATGTTTGGAGCTTAGCCAAGGGTTTATTTTAACCCAAAAGACTACTAAAGTCTATTCAGTTTATATATTTATAAAGAATAGCAATCAATATCTGGTTTTAGATTTCTTCACCACTGCTAATCTACTCCAGCATCTGGCTCTGATTGGTAGATCTTTGTATTCTAATAAAAAAAGAAAGTAGTTCCTGCAAAACTGGGATTTACCCATTTTTGGAATTGGAGGCTTTGTTGGACTTGGCAACTCCATCTTAAAACAACCCTGGTATAATTCTGGGGAGATGAATGGATTCTGTGATTGAGATGGAAACTGTAAAGGCAGGAATCCTTATGCTAGAATACAGCTTGCTCCAACAGTTGGGGGCCCATTCAGAGAAAATGGCAAATGAACTCTAGAGTAATTCTTTGCAAGGACATGCACTCTCCCAGACATGCAAAATTAGCTCTCTTCTCCCCCCCCCCGCCCCTACCCAGCTTGCGCTATATATTTCCTGGGTGCTAAGGAGGTAAAACATGAGGAACTAATAAATCTAATTAAACTCTGACATTAATTCAATAAATCACACAGCAGCAGTGTTTTTGCAATACTATGGATTCCCCCCCCCCCTCCCGGCAGCCTTATAGTTTCTCTTAGGAGAAGAATTAATCCCTTCTCATTTAATCTCTTTCCAGACATTTACAGCATGGTGTAACTCTCACCTCCGCAAGGCTGGCACCCAGATTGACAACATAGAAGAAGACTTCAGAGATGGCCTGAAGCTCATGCTACTCCTGGAAGTTATATCAGGTGAGACCATTGTTGTGCAGTAGTTAATGGGCTGGAGTGGAGAAACCTGTACTTCAAGCTTTCTCTGTGGTGCAAAACAAGAGCCAAGATGGCCATTGTTTGAATCAGTATCCCATGTGCACACAGCTCATGTTGGGAAATTTATGGAGAGAAAGAACTTCAGAGAGACAAATAAATGGGAATCTATTCATATCCAGTATTCATTACCACATGAAGCAAAGCACTTGTTTCATCAGCATCTCTTTTTATCAGCATATGAAGCATCCACATACAACTTGGTGCCTTCTAGACTGGTCATGCCAGCCTGGGGTAATGAGAGCCATAATCCAGGACACTTGAACAGTATCAGCTGAGGAAGGGTGTATCAGCATTGCTTATCCAGTCACAATGTATTTTCTCAGGGTTGGAAACCAAGTCAGTCAAAGCAATAGTTTCAACTTCACTTCCATATGTTTTTGTTGGGATACCTTTCCCACTTAAGCTTCACTGTGTTGTCTGCTGCAGCTTCCTTTACAGGTAGTCCTCGCTTTATGACCACAACTGAGCTCAAAATTTTGTTGCTAAACAAGATAGTTGTTAAGTAACTTTTTGCCCTGTTTTTTTATCTTTCTTGCCACAGTTGTTAAGAGAACCACTTCAGTTGTTAAATTAGTAACACTTTGCTGGTCAGAAGGTTGCAAAAGGGGATCAACATGACCCCTGGACACTGCAACTCGTCATAAATAAGAACCAGTTGCTAAGCATCCAAATTTTGATCACATGACCAGGGAGGGGCTACAATGGTTATAAGTGTGAAAAGTGATCATAAGTCTTTTTTTTCTGTGCCGTTGTAACTTTGAACGGTCACTAAATGAAAGGTTGTAAGTCGAGGATTACTTGTATAGAACTTTGATTGCTTTTCTACAACCGAAGGCCTTGGAGAAAGCCACAAGTGGTGCTCCTTCCTCTGCAGAATTTAAAAGCAAAATGCTGAATGGTCCCATGTCCTGTGGCTTTCTTTGAAGTCTTCCAGCTGAATTTGTTTCTCATCTTATTTATTCCTGACTTGTTTATCTTGCTAGTGAAGTGCTCACTCATGCATGGGGAAGGAGAGGAAAGCCAAGAGGAGGCAGTTTACAGACAGTGATAGGCAGAGGGCAAATAACCAAGCCTTGGTGTTTTTATTTACAGAAGTTTACCATGGAGTATATTTCCTTGATGTTGCCTTCTCCTCTGTCTTCATCTCTTTGCCCTTATTGCCTTTTGTTTTAAATGTTCCCTTTCTCTGCAGTGCTTTCCAGGTTTTTGTTCAGGACTCTGGCATGAACAATTCTTAGCCTTTGGCTACCCAGGAATTCTGGCAACCATAGAACCAACAAATCTAGGGGTCACTGGTCATGGAAAAGCTTGGTTACACACACTGTGTAACAGCCAAAGTGCTTCAAAATATATTTTTTTTGCTGCGATTTTACATGGTGGTTTGCCACATTATATGTAAGCAGGTTCCACGGCCTCTTAAAATCTCAATGATTCCTGTTTTCCCCGGTAGAAGCCCTTTTCCTGTCTGGTAAACATGTACAGTTGGCATGTGTCACTGATCTCTTGAAAGTGCAGGACAAGCCTTCGCTTTGTTGTGGCATCGTCTGGTAAACATTACTGTGACTGCCAAAGGAGAGTCAGTTCGTTCTTGTCAGAAGGAAAGGCGGCTGTTCCCCTGCCTCTTTGAACTCCAGGTTCAGTTGCTTTTGGCAGCAGTTCAAAGTAAACACAGTTATAACGGCTGGACATGCTGCATTTTGGAAAGAAAGGACACATAACTGACTGAAAAGGAAAGGATTGTAGACTGAATCCTTTGCAAGAAAGGAGATCCCATTTATCTCCCTCCAACTTCATTATTATTTTTACTATAAGGTTTGTTAACGCTGCTGTGTATGAATGATCTTTTGACATAAGAGAGCCTTTGAGGATGGAGGTTATGTTAACGTAGAATATTAAAAATATACAAATAATTAGAAATATACCCAAAAGGGAAAGAACACATTCAAACACATCAGGTCCCACAGGTTCTGTTTCAGATAAGGACATTTATTCCTTCTTCTTTTTTTTTTGCCTGCCACTAAGCTTAAAATCTCATGTCTGAAATGTTTTTGCCCACCTCAGACATAATACATTGATACGATATCTTTGTGATTATGGTGTGGATACAGGGGTCGGCTGCTGTGGGTCCACACGGGTTTGGGGGATCCTCTATCTTAGTATCTGGCCAGTTCGGCAAACCCGCGAATCCCACCCCTGGCTGGTCCCGCTCATACTTCCCCTCCCAGGAGTCTCCACGCGGCCTGTTTGGGGCCAGGTAAGTAAAGGGCCTGCACAGAGGCTCAGGGAATGTGAAAAACTGGGGGAGGCCATTTTTGCCCTCCCTGAGGCTCAAGGAAAGCCTCTGAAGCTTGTGGAGAGTGAAAAATGGGCCTCCCAGAAGTTACAAAAGTCTGGAAAAGTATGCAGGGCCTCCAAAGCTCAGGGGGGCCATTTTCACCCTCCCGAAGGCTCAAGAAAAGCCTCTGGAGCCCGGGTAGTGTGAACACCCCCCCCCCATTGTGGTGCAAGAGTCTGACTAGGCCATGCCCACCGTGGCCACGCCCACTCAGCAACCGGGCAAAGAACCTATTGCTAAAAGTTTTGAAGCCCACTCCTGTGTAGATATATAAATTTGTAGTGGTAACTGTTAGCCATCAGTTGATAACCCTAACTCATTTGGGATGGGGAAATGATACAGTACAAGTGAGCTGCACTAAGTAGAGTAATCCATTAGTATGTGGCAGGCAAAAAAAAAACCCTTTTTGTTGGGCAAAAAGAAACTAGAAGACTGATGAGCCGTGGTTTAGTACAACAAAACCCAGAATGTTTTATTTATTCTAGATTTCACATTTTACAAATCCAGAGGAGCGGCTAGAACAAGCCTGGTCCATGTTGCCCTCCCCTCCTCTATGGCTCCCAGTACAGCATATCCCACCAGCCTGCTCATCCCTCTTATTTTCCAGAGCCCTCCATTCCTCATCTCTGCACTGCTGTCCCTGATGTTGTTGCAGCAGGGCATATTCCCTGGGCCAGCCTGTCCCCAGATCTTCTTCCTGTGTTTTTCTTTGCTGCTCTCCTTCGCCATCAATGTCCTTGGCTTTTTCCCTGCTCCCGCTGCCTCCAATATCAAACCATTTGTGTCTGGAGAAAAACAGCTTCATTTTGTTCTCTGCATGGGCCAAAGCTCCCAAAGTGTGTATGTTTCCATTCAGGCATAGACCACCCATCATCAGCTGTTCCCTGCACCAAGCATTTTGCACATCTTTAGACAAAGAAATCCCAATGAAAACTGCCATGACAACTTAGTTCTGCTTTTATTTACTTCTGTATACACTTCCAATTCCCCACTATGAAGATAATTGAGCACATTTGTTTAGGAATTTTATTCTGTCTAGGCTAGGCCCTTAGAAAAAATATCGGCACTGTATGTGATATTTTACAGGGGGGGAAAGCATTGTTGCTTTTGCGACATATGTATTGATAAACATATTAGGGCAGAGAGCAGTCCTTCTGAAATAATACCACTTTGGAATAAGAGGCAATTGCATACTTAAAGTGTTCCTCCTTTTATTTTATTTTTTCTAATTGTCTTCATTACACAGTTATACAGCTTACACAATACATTATATTGCTATTATATTGACTATAACTATATTGATTAATACAATATTAAGTAAACATTACCATTGTAATATTTAGATAACGTAGACCATTATGGATTCAAAACAAAAATATCAATATTAATTATGATTTAAAATGTTAATAAGCATGACATTATTTTGCTTTTTCATCCAGAATTGAATATAACATTAAAAAAAACCACTGCATGTTGTATCAAAATATTTGTTTTACAATAAAGGCTTTGATCTCAAATTGATTACTTGTTGTTAAGATCTCCACAATCGGAAAAGGAAAAGAGAAATAAACAAAGCAAATTTGAACACTAATCTCATTCCTGCTTGTGACCATGGTATAATTATTTTAGCTTTATTGTTCCTCAAAGTGCTGCTTAGTATGTATATAACTTATCACTTGAAGGATGTAGTTTTTCAAATACATTATTCCCCTATATCCATGATGGCGAACCTATGGCATGAATCCTGGAAATGGCACACAGAGCGATCTCTCTGGGCACGCCAGCTGTTGCCCGTTGCTCTTCCAGGTTCTGGTGTGCACATGCACACTGGCCAGCTGGTCTTCGCATGTGCACCAGAAACCAGAAGACTGGTGTGAATGTACATGCAGGAAACTTGAAGCTTAGCATGCGCACCGGGGAACTGCTCTTCCAGTTTCCGGCACTCCTGTGCTTGCACGCTGGGGAGCTGTTCTTCTGGTTTCTGGCGCTTCTCATCTGCATGCTCCCATTTCAGCACTCTGTGCCAAAAATGTTGACCAACACTGCCCTACATAATTAAGTGGCATGATCAGGTACTTACAAACATGAGTGTAAACAAATTCCAATGGACCAGTTGTGGTTTTACAGCAAAAAAGAAGCAACTGTTATCTTTGTGTGGTATATGAATTCTTTGTAGAGGTGAAATGAAGGACTTCACTTAAAAAAAACAATCATATTTTTTTTTCTCAACCTGATTAGGTGAACGTTTGGCTAAGCCAGAAAGAGGCAAAATGCGAGTGCATAAAATCTCAAATGTGAACAAAGCTCTGGATTTTATTGCTAGCAAAGGAGTCAAGCTGGTCTCCATTGGAGCTGAAGGTAAGCAGTTACTTCAAGTAGGAACTAGATGGTAACAATAATGAACCTGCTTTTATTTGATACATATTTAATATTTGATGCATTACTAGAAAATAATGTATCTCCTAAACGTGAACTTCACATTTGAAGACCAACCAACTAAGGAGTCTTAGAATATCTGGTAGCAGTTTTTGGCTTCCATCCATCCATTTGTTACATTCATTTGTATCCTTCCTAGTTACCAAGAACCAGGTGTATAGACACATTCTCTCTGAGTTCCTTCTAAAGGATTATTATCCTGTCTCATTATCTTTGATTTGGGGGAAGAAAATAAAAGAAAGAATCCAATGCCTTTGTTCATCTTAGAGAAAAAAAAATTGTTGATGGATTTTCTAACCCAGGAACCTGATGAACCAAATAGTCTTCTATTTGATCTGATTAACCAAATAGTCACTGAGCGGTGGCTCAGTGGCTAAGATGCTGAGCTTGTCAATCAAAAGGTCGGTAGTTCGGCGGTTCGAATCCCTAGTGCCATGTAACAGAGTGAGCTCCTGTTACTTGTCCCAGCTTCTGCCAACCTAGCAGTTCGAAAGCACATAAAAATGCAAGTAGAAAAATAGAGGAGATGTCTTTGGACAGCGCTGGCTCTTCGGCTTTGAAACAGAGATGAGCACTGCCCCCTAGAGTAGGGAACGACTAGCAGATATGTGTGAGGGGAACCTTTACCTTTTTATACA